GGACTATGTTTTTTTGCAACTATGATGAATCACAATTTGAAAATCAAATCCCACCCTTTTATTATGATATTATCCGAGAATGTTCATCTCTGACATCATACACTCCAAAAACAACATCTGAAATTGATAAACAAATACTATGGAACAATAGATTATTAAAAAACGGCTATCGTACAGTCTATCTGAAAAGTTTGGAAAGAAAAAAAGTATTAAGAATAATAGACCTAATCGATTTCTATGGAAACTTTCATCACTGGCAATATTGGAAGGGAAAAGGTATCACTTTGACAGAATACCATACTATACAAGACCTAATCTCTGAAATACCAGATGACTGGAGAGAGAACATTCATGCTAATACCCATGAGTGGTGTGATTTTCAAAATAAAGTCAAATGGAATTCTAAGTACGTTGCAATTAATACACTGACGAGCAAAACGATGTATAAATCTTTGTGTGAAAACATTATTAAAGAGCCAAATATCGCCATAGCCTTCCAATATTTGTATGGAATGAAACAAAATGTAATTTTCAAACTACCTTTCAAGACAACAATCTCCACAAATCTTAAGGCATTCCAATACAAAATTCTACACAGAGTTTTAACAACTAATGTAAAACTGTATAAATGGAAAATAATCAAGTCCCTCCACTGTTCTTTTTGTGAAAGAGAAGAAGACACATTAGAACACTTATTTGTTAAATGTATTGTTGTAAAGAGACTTTGGAGACTGTTGCAAAGTGATTGCACACTTATTGCCAATTTTGTTTGTAATGTCAAAAATATTATTATAGGTCTATGTGAACCGGAAAATATATTATTAAATCATTTTATTTTATTATTTAAATAATATGTATATACCTGTAGGGTTCAAAAGGTTCATCCAACAAAATACGCATATAAAAGTTGGAACAGGGAAAATAGAAATATTGAACTACAAATCGCAATAAACAAAAACAAAGAGCTTATCCATTATCAGAAATGGGAACCATTAACTAATTGGCTATATAATGGGTAAATTTAGATGTTATACCAGATCACTTTTTTTTCTTCTCCTTATTTTCTTCCTCTTAATTTTACTTCCTTGTACTTCTATGCAATGTAATATTTTGTGCTGTATGTCTATATTATTGAAACGAAATAAAAAATATTGTTTAAATAAAAAAACAAAAAAACAAACAAACACTGTTGCACTTTTATTTCAGACAGACAGACAGACAGACAGACAGACAGACAGGTTTGTAATTTTGTAACGTCATTTATATCTCTTCCATAATAGAAGACGTCGAACGTCAATGACACCTCAGTGATTTTTAACTAAACAGGCCTTTTCGAAATCTCCTTTTTTGAATAATAATGTTTCATAGAGTTTGGGTTGTTTGATTGCACCTAGAATTGATATTATTTCTATAAACTAACATGTAGCAGGAATGCTTGGTGAGCAAGTACAGCCGAGCAGTTTATTAACCCACTAAAAATAGAACTGACGTAAACATCGAACGTTGTAGTTCGTTAATTGCGGAAATCTAGGTATCAGTTCACTCGCGACGTGAGTGGGATTGAAGATGACCCAATACATGCATGAGTCGTGTCTCGCCGCTGATCAAAATGGCTCTTAACTGTAGTTGCCAAAAAATGATGGTTTTATCATTAAACAACATTCTGAAGATATTTTATCATGAATGAGTTGTTTTGCTTCACATAGTTTGTGAAACAACAAACAAAATGGAGGCGCCCATTGACCGGAAGTGAACCATTTTGAAATCCTGAATGTGACAGCACACCATAATATGTTACTGCATTTATCCACTCGGTCTCGGATTCTAATTGAATGTTAATTGAATTCCAATAAAAAAAAAATTATAAAATTGTAATTCCAGTTACATGTTTATTTTTTTCTATTGTGTTCACATTATACGGTCTTAGTACCACGCGGGTTCACATAGAAAGTAATAACATGACTAGCAATGTAGTGTAAAATACAGAGAATAACGATCAAGATACAAATGCCTGATACATATTAATTAAGTATTGTTCAATCAACATAATGTCTTATTTCCTAATATGGTGAACTCGTGTTAGGGTCCCTTGTATGACAGTAAATATTTTCGAGTTTTCGCAAATGTAAGACTTTAATTAAGTTGAATTTTCATTGAATTGTCCAACGTTTCGTTCATCCAAAGTCCATACAGTTTAGCTTGTCATTTATCGTCGCCAAGATGAAGATACACTGAATATGTTATTCACATTATACAACTTCCCTTTTAAAATGAATGGGTGTGATGAGAATATCTGAAATGTGTCCTTAATATTTATCCATTAAACGAATATTTAAAACAGAGTAGTTGCATTTCTCCAACATTTGGCGGCTAGTATTTCTAATAGAATATCATTCTACTTTAACATACGGCATCGAAAAAAATGATGATCCGCGGGTCGGTTGAAAATAGATAAATTTCTCACATAAAAATTCAAGAGGTTGATTATATGACAGATCTGTTTTCGCTCTGTCTAGAATCGTGCTGAACGAATGACTTCTTCTATTGAACAACCGTCAGCTTGTGCACTATAAATACATACACTAACTCACAATTGTATAAAATGTGTTACTAATAATGTTTACTGAACACAATATGACTGAGTTAATATTGAATACAAATTATACAGTTTTTTACGATCAGTTTATTTAGCACACATGTGTAACATAAATAGCCTCATCTGTCACATACGTCCAGCCATTTTGTTTCTACAATAACCATCGCATGTATAAACTATATTCGTGTTTAAATGGAATAAAGTGCTGCTCGTCTCAAATCTTCTGTCATCCACCTTTTCTTAGTAACGCACATGTGCTTCCAACTACACCATACTATCAATGGAGGTAATTTTCTACTTTTAAATATGATGATACTCTGGCGAGGCTGGTGTAAAGTTTGCAATGGCTGACACTGCGTTGGGAATCAAACAATGATTAAACCGCAGTGTTGACGACGAAGCCATGGCCCTCAGCCGATATTTGTACACCCATTGACATTTTTGATACGTGTCTTCAAACATGTCATAAGCACTTGTCAATATATGTGTTGTCAAGACAACAGCGCTAATAATATTAGTTGAGGCTTGGCGTGGAAATATACTGAATGCAAAGTATCAAAATCAAGTTAGTTATAAATATATAGGTTATGATGTCAACTAACTTGTTAGTTTTCCAATGAAAACGTGGGTCCTATTGAAATAATTCCAGATCTTCCTGGTTAAAGATCATTAGCAAGATGTTTGCCCTCCAGTGTTCCCTTGATTGAGAAATGCTTCGAGTTAAATTTTCTTCAGGGCATATGACTACAACGTCTGGATTTTCCTTCATAAAGATGCATTTCCAAATCACTTGCCACGCTGCGACGTTTGACTCACTGACCTTAGCCCTTCGTGTGGATGTAGTTTAACAAATATTTTATTACATACATGTGCTCTTACCACTGTCCTACAGACTTTTATTAAACCCCCGCATTTTTCTATCATGCCCTGATGTCCCACAATTGTGATGAATTATTCACTTGACCATACGTCGGGTCAGTGTCATTTTCTAGCTGTGTTGCTATGCCGTGCATGCCAAACACATTCTTTAGCTTTCTCTTTGTTGGTTTATTGACTGTGGGCTAGACCGTTATCATCTGTGGATATCCGGTTATTATGCTCAATGTTACGTATTTATAGTGGCCATGTGAAATTTAAATTCATAGCAAAATCCTTATGTTGTTGTCTTTGCTTGTTGTTTGCTCAAACGTGGGCTAATCATAATTTTAGACCAATTTCATGGTGTCTAACAAGTTCAAGAATTTTTAAATGAGGTAAGTGGTGTCTGAACAGGTATTCTTTACTTGACGATTGTAGCTGCATTCTTTGTCTAATGGGGAAAGTTGCAAACACTTCGTCATGGTTTGTAATATATCTTTATATTCTACTAAACTGACATAACTCTTCCACTGTGAAAATGAAGTGAAAAAGTTGTACTTTACTAATAATTATTGGATATATGTAGCGTTCAATGAAATAATAATAGTTAGGTATATTCAAATAGCAACCGTAATGCTCAGAGGCGTGTGTTTCCGTGGTCTGAATAAACAATTACCATAGTGTATCACCGAATACATATGCTAATACTAACACTTACACAAAGGATAATGTGAATAATGACTTGCTCAAACTTTGCAACATTTTTTTTTCACAGATATAAGCTTTTGCATAAAAAATTACAACACTGATCTACATGTGATTTCATGCACTTGTATGTCAAAGACGTCAGCTTGCTTACAAAAATCATTTGATTATGACTCAGATTGAGAAATGGCGGGTCTCACATGTGAAGTAGAATGTGCTCACTCCTTTCAAAAGCTATTGTAATATTGTAAGTTTCTTATATCTTTCTCTTATTTATTTGGCTGTTTTGTTTGATCTACGTTGGTTTGTTGGTGTCTTATGGTGTCTTATATTTTTGAATTTGAGGACCTACTCCTAACTACGTCGATGTCGTCATAAACGTCTTACAAAATTCCTCTTGTCTTTCCCACTCCATGGATAATCGCCTCCAATATAACAATTTAGTCTCACGTCATTAGTTTTGCTTATTTTTCTGACTACCTAATATGTTTTACTGTTATGACGTGTCTGTATCTATCTCTGTGACCTAAATCTGTAAATGTATTTATTGTACATGCAATTTAATGCATTCACCAATTTTTTCCCTATTTTATCCAGTCAGTTCAAACTAGGATTTTGTATTAGTAGACAACAATAAGCTCAAATTTCCACCGAAATCACCCGAGAATTGATATCTTTCTAGTCTGGATTGCCGTGTCTGAGATTTAGTCCATCCTTGATCACAATGTAATATCTGTGTTATCGTAAATTACCCGTGATGATTGCTTGTGTAGTTTTTATGCTAATTTTGACAGAACATATCATATGTGCTAACTGTAGCAACTTAAATAACTCCCATTTATGATAGATTAACACATATTTTATTCACTATTGTATTAACTACATTTGAATGTCACATCCAAATACGTTGGTTATACATTTACTTTCTATATTCCCAGCATCACATCTGCTAAGACAAGAACGAGCAAGCAAAGTTAAATTTATTTCCACTTATGAACCCGAGAAAAAATTGATTACGTAAAGTAAATTAATCGCCAGTGTTGTTAACTGTTCACATTGGAGCATTACACCGTGGATGCAATGTAAATAACCATATTATTTGATCTTGCAACTAAAAAAAAGAAAAAAAAAGAAAATATTAAAACTATGATGGCAATATGATACGAAGTGCTCGGCATTTAATGGAATACAAAGCAACCACATTTACTAGTAATGATAGCTTGAAAAATATTTATAGATTTTGGACTTTTGGTTTTTCGTGTCGAAAGCCCTTGTAACAGAAGGAAAATGTTACAAAAGTAAATGCTTTTTTTCAGTATCCAAGGCTTGATATTATAGCAAAATATATGGGTATTTATGCTGATAGAGGAATTAGGATCCAAACTAATTAATATTAAAACGATACGGCATTGTTTGGTAAGGTACAACCATCATACTCGTCGGAGATTTATGTTATGTAAACGTAGCAAATTTGTTAGAGCCCCGATTGCGAAATGAGTCTTTCGCTTGGTATATAACGCTACACTGTAAACAAATTCCGGCCAGTAGACGTGTAATAACCAGACCTTGGAAGCTTGATTAATTTCATATTATTCATGTAATGCTGGTTTTACATAAATCAAACAATCTCGCCCAGGTTTAACAAATTCTACATAAATATAGTGGAACATATATATATATATATATGATATGTTCCACTATATATATGTAGAATATATATATTCAAATCACAATATCATTTAGTTTTCATAAATTTTATACAATATCATGAACGGTCTGAGTGTATCCTCAAAAAATGTACTTGTAAAACAAGTGTTGTAAAGATTCAAAGCCGAATGTAGATTCTCGAAACGAATGAACTGGCACTCTGGGCGATATTATAATTTTACCTTACCTGTCACATGTTAAAATCGAATTTTAAAATGTGTTTTGTCACACAATGTATCATTACAATCATGTTATAATTCTAGTGCTAACACAATTATATCTTAATACACATACTATTAAACTATTATTTTCTCGTTTTGTTATAAGCATCACTCACCTATCTTTGATTTGCCAGCTATTTGCAAACTCTTTCACATCCTCTACTAATTTTAAACCTTCTGTTGTGAGCATCTTGAAATCATCATCCGGATCATTGTTGGCAGTTCCCATGAGACCGCATACTTTGCCATGGAAACTGTCGTCTACCTTTACATCGACACGTCCAATTCCATCCCAGCACACGCAGAATTCGTTCTTTTTTGTTACAACAATTTTATTGTCCTTTTCTTTTATGCTAATGCCATTTGTTTTATCTTCCCATTTATCTACGATATCGACAATGTGGATGGATGTATTGTTGTTGATCTGCGGAATAAAGATTATCATATTTATATTAAGTGTGTGTAGATAGATGATAATAAAAATGTTCATACACGACGGACAGAGAAAGTGTTGTTACCACTGAACAGTAAACATATAAATATATATAAATATATATATATATATATATATATATATATATATATATTTACCATGATTTGTGAAAAAAAGCTTAGAAAGAATGTGCTGATCCAAGTGCACAACCCAAGTGTACAACACACCGAAGCATTTGCTGTAACACATTATTGGGGTAGTGGATTAAACATCACATATTCACTGACGGTATTCGATCAAATAAATTAAAATGTAATTTAATAAAGGTTACATAAAGGCAAAAGGACACATGTCCTAACTTTAACTTTCTGATGTATTCGATCGCTTTGTACTTACTGACAAGTATTTGTTTTGTAGTAGGTCAACTCTGAAGACACCTCCTCCTTCTAAATTTATTATCACGTAGACGCTGTCAATGTAGACGACATATTTGTACGGGGTCTTCAATGTTCTGGAGTTCACAATATTCACGGAGAAACGAGGTTGTTCCAATGGGTCCTGACACTCTCTCAGCAACACGTACGAGCAATTACCGTCAAACGAGTACTGCTTACCATCAACGGTGTGAAACTGAGGGTCTCCCGAACCCGTTCCGCCTGATAAGAATAATACGTTAATAAGTGTTTGTATTAATACCGGCATTTGAATTGCGTTTTATTTTTTTTCAAAAAAACGAGAACAAGTTTGGTTTATTTGAAAATATTTTTATTATAACTTACTTTTTCGCACACCAACGTCATGAAACTCCTGTTAAGAATTAAATAAGTTAGACGGCAGTATATTTTAGTTCATTGTAATAATGTATGAGTATTACTACCACTATTATTTATAGTAATATACTACGTGTTACAAGACCAAAACTTTGCATTTTCATGAGTTGGATTCTCTAATAATCAACAAATATTGGAACTTATTCATGAGCATTTTGAGTTACGGCTACACTATTTTCAAATAGTATAATATTATTACGGATTGTTGCTTTTTGAATCCACATGTTCAAGATCATATAATCATATCATTGTTGAAGTTGCAGAATGCGGATACGTGAAAATAGTGTTTCCTGTTATATCGGTCTAAATCATTTGTGTAGTGACTGTAGGTGTGATTTAACGTACTCCCAATAAACGGTACTAATTCGAATGTTTCAGGCCACCAAGTGTGTAGAACATTATCAATACAAAAAAAGCCATCGCCATTGGTCAATTGTGACCCGTGAATGGGGAAGAATGTATATTAATATGAATTACAAGCATGTACGAAAAACAATGGTACAATGTTTGGAACATGTTTTCTCTATTTGAAGTGTATTTTTCCTCGCTCAATGTCCACTCACAAATAAACTAAAAAAAAACATGTAGTTTACCTGTTGACCGAGCTTCATTGATATAGCAGCTCTTGTAGTTGCTGCAACAAGCATGTAACAAAGTAAGTATCTGTTCATTCTGCAATGTAAATAAAAAGCAATTTCAGAATAACATGTATTATTATTTTATAAGAAATTGAAATGACTGCATGGATGTATTATTTCAAGAGAAACTTTTGTAAAATTTATTTTTTGAGCTATTCATTTAGTAACTTATTTGTTTAGATAGTTATTGTATTTATGTATTTACATGTTTTGCCATCTAGTAGTAAATTGTAATTGTTGTTCTGAGAAATAGAAAAACAACATTCTGGAAAAACGATAAATTCACTATGTGTGTGTTTATGTCTGTTCTGTTTGTCAATATCATGAGCATGTCTAGTTTCTCGCGTTGTGGGTGAATAGATTAAACATTGGCTATCTGTCGATACTTTAGATTGTGCACATTATACGAAAGACAGCGACGCGAACGTTCACATTATTATATAAATTCGTGAGGCATTTCAATTCCCTGAAGCGTCTACTCGTTCAAGTAACGTAATTCACTGCGCTACAAATATTAAAACCTCCAGACACGTAGACATCGACGGCGAGAGTATAACGTCAATGAACTCTTAGCCAAGGAACATTACAATATTCATTTCCTAGCTTAAACTATACGCAACAAACATATAAAACGAATTGACATGAAATTGTACACGTTCAGACTGCAAATATTAAACTTTTCCGGTAATGGCTTTGACTTTCGACTAGATAAAAAAAGGCATACTTATTCCGAAGTGCTTTTTTTCATTTTAGAAACTGTGGACAGAGAGGCCCATGTCAATGCGAGTGTGTATCAGGCATAGTGCGTTATATAGTGTAGTTTTGCCCAAGCCGGTCAAACAAGGGAACGTTGATGTACTGAACAAAACAAACTGAACCTGACACGCCATAAGTCTAGCCATGTCAAAGTAAGAGTAGTTTTCAATATAATCTATGGAAACAGCAAAATTGAAAGATTGTTGAAAGATGATATAAACTGTACCATTTGTCGATATCTCTATCGTCTAAAGCAAGAAAAGTGTATGTATAATTTCTGTAAAACAGTAAACATGCATAAATTAGTACCTTAAGCAACTGCGCAATTCAATGACTTGTACAGAGATGATGTAATTCGATGTGTCGCCACAGACTCTGGAACGCATAGAATGACTGACTGGCTGAATATAGAATAAATTCTAGCAAATTAGTGACAATCCAACAGGTCTCAAGCTGTTACAATACCTGTGTCAGTTTTGTGATGAAACAATGGCACCGGAGATGAGATGTTTTTCCAACAAAGGGCAAAAGGGAAAAATAACCATCCACGCCTTATAGAGTCGATGTTGCAAAATAAAAAAGGCAATATAAAAAATAACGTGTCATCTGACACATTTGTTGTAAGTTATCTTTTATATTGACTGTGAAAAATTAACATGGTTTGAAAAGAAGAATTTTGAAGCTGTGCATTTCATGTATTGATATTATTAACAATATACTAAGCTTCAATTGCGATAACACTTTATCATTTAAAAAATGAATTTCACTCTCATGATGCATATGATTAATAAACAGTTCATGCTTACCGCAACGCCTGTCTGCGGCACCTGTGTCCATTGCGATCTACATCATCTACGTTTAATGGTCGATGCTATTGTTTTGAAAAACACTGTAAATGTATCCCAATGGCGTATGTGAGGGTTTTATCAGCAGACGAGCTATGGATATTTGGAATGAGAGACCCGAGGTTTGACTTTGAACACATCATTCTAGAATACGCTGTGTCGCATCTTCTTTTGTTATATTCAAATACACACTTGCTAGTTTAAATAACAGTTTTTGTTCACAAATTCATGACCTTAATTCTCGTACAACATAATTTTATTCCGACGAAGTTTAATGTTGATTTAAAAGAAATATGTATGAGTAACGTTATTGTGTATGTTGTTTGGATGGATTTGTACAACGATCGAAAAAAATGGAGATAGGTGGTATGGATTTAAAATGACATTGCTGTTACGAGGTTTGCTATGTTATATTGGAGAAAAAAATATTTTTTTATAAGCGTATAAAGCATTTTCCAAATTTAATGTTGTAAGTAGTACGCAATTTCCAATTTTGATTCAAAAAATAAAAAATTATCAAAAATATTATCAAAATATAATTAGGAGTTTTCTCTATCTGTAAAAACCTATTTTTTACTGTAAATGGAACTTTCATTTTATTTTTTGTAAAAGCGTAAAAATCCGTTTTTATTTCCAGTAACCTGTATCAGTCCCCTCAATAAAAGTCATCGTTAATTGGTCTACAACAAGTTCACTGTTAGTTCCTCATTATACAATATCTATACATTTAGGGACGACGTCAAAAGATCGATGTCGGATAAAAAACTTATTTCCTTTAGTTTGGGGGTGGGGGGTTTTGACCTCAAAAAGCTCCCATCCTACAAAAACGATTTTATTTTTTTAATGAAGTCAAAAAAATCTTGGAGTATTTGTAGTTCGTTTTTTTTCTATTTTGATTGTGACATGTAAAGCTAGCAAAACTTATCGAAAGACGTAGGCTTTTAAATAACAGTTACTGAAAAGTCGTAAATTTAACGCTCATACAACTACGATAATGACGCAAAGTGATAACATGTTACAACTTCATATAAAATGATAACATAGAGTTTACAGTCATAACCTTTTTATATTATTTTTTTTGATGACAGTTTATAGCCAAAACTCGAAACAAATAATGTTCAACTTGCGTGAACGTTTGCGGGTAGTGGCAAGTGTTATTTCCATCACGCGCTGCACGCTGTTTCTGTGCCCCATGTAAACAACTGCAAATATTCAAATATAACGTTCATACCCTTAAACACGTTCATGCAAGGTAAGCAATGTATCACATATAGTTCAAATGAACGCAAATACGTTTCTTTGCGCCAATGCAGATGATGTTTATTTACAAACACGAAAGGTTAATTCAGAAAACCTACTCGAATCGAAACATAGAAAAGGGAAACAAGCTAGCAAAAAAGTGAACAAAGCAAGATAACTTTCGTCAGTGCGCCCGCAAATAGGAAATGAAATTTATGTACGTGTAGGTGGCGCTATTTAAGTGAGACCGCCCTCAGTGAAGATAACTTAGGTTACATCGTATTTAATTTCCCAAACCAAATAAACTAAGTTTGTTTACGTAGACCGTAATTCTCCTTGGTAACTCAGATGATTTCTCAATGGTAACAACGTCAATTATGTTAATTTCGTTTAGCAAAACTAGCATTAATGACTGGTACAATAAAACAACCAGAAATAGCTGGTTCTTCATCAAATCTTGTATTATTTAAAACCAGTTATATATAACAACGAAACAGATTGTTGACGGAATCCAATGTGGTAGACTTTTTTTTCAGGAAAAAACCATTCATTATTTACCTGTGATGAAAACACATTCGATAGAATGCCGCTGGTAAGATTTTACACATGAAAACAAAACAAAAAGGGTGGCTCCGCTTTCTAGTACATACTCCAGTGTACTCGGCCACCAAGCCAGTCATCAGTCAGCTATAATGTTCAACGTTGTTACTAACATGTTATATCAATGATATGGATGATGGCGGATAAATAAAGTTTCCCGCTTTTTGCCAGTGTAGTTTATATTTTTTTATTGTGTATAATTTTCGAGTTCCGTTGCATTATACCTGATTGTTCTTAGTTATGTTATCGTTATTATTTTAGTAATGTGAGTTTTAGTTTTGGCGGTTTTATACATTTGGCTGTTTTGGAATGGCGTTTGTGAAAATGAGTAAATAAATCGTTGGTCGGACTGTCCCAGTGGCTACATCCTGCAACCTAACCTTATACCTATCGTGTATAGTGTGCTGTGTGTTAATGAGTTGGTCTGCAGTCCGGGGAAGATTGTGAAACAAAACATATGAGGGCGCTATTCCTTAGTATGCCACCAGATTAATGGTATCACATCAACGCGTAATATGACAGAATAAAACATCTCCCATTAATGGTTGTAAACTGTACATAACTCATCGACGACCAAGCCGAGTTCCTTCTGAGTTATAACTATAAATATGAGCTGAAACAGACAGATGGCACAAACATAATTGACAAAATTCAGCATCCAAATTTCCTTGGGAGAATCTGTACTGTACAGTACACAATAGAGTAATATCATAGTATCGGGGCAACTCGTGCAGGCTTCCCTTTTACTTGAATTGTTGCTCAGCGGCAACGATGATGACATTCTACATAAGTACATCTAATATGCTACTAATTTTCAGACAAAATTATACCAACACACATTTATGTACCTCGTAGCATTGTAAATACAGCCATCAAACCAACCAATAATTCCTTGGCACTTTACTCACCTACAATTAGGTAAGTGCTAATCACACTGGTCGGAATTTGTCCCTAGTTCCAAACAATCAATACATGTATAATTTTATTATTTGCGTACAGTTAAGGGAACCTCGGATGATTTTACGCAAAACGGGATGTTTTGACGTAACTTACACCCTCCTGCAAAATTCTATTCCTTCAACCGCACGTTGCTTTTTGTGAAAAGGTCAAGAAGAAATCATACATGGGCAAACAGAGTCAATTTTCGTTGGTAAGTGTTCGATGGTGTAGGTGTTAATTATGTTTTGCTCCGCGAATTACTATGGATCATTACTTTGAAAACCATCACAGTGAATATTTTATTTGTTTGAGTCGTTCATGTAGAATAAAACCGGGAATTTATTTGCATAAACTTGCATAAACATTACACAGAAGAATATATATTGCCACTGTAAATCAGCAATAGCTATCGTAACGGCGATCAACCAATACGATCAACTGTTAGTCCGCCGAAAGTATAAATCGCTAAAACTCGTCGTCTGGTGTTCATCTTTTGAAAGTCTCTCACGTTGAATTTCCTATCAGCTACGAAAGTTTGTTCGATGTAGCTGTCCGCTCCAGTATGAGTTGAAACAATTATAAACTGTCATATAATTATGTTTAAGCTTTCACATTTAAAAAAAAAAACCAATATTAATGTACAATTTATAAGAAAGTCTTCAAAATTGGCTGTGAATGTGCCTACGAGCAGTTCAGAAAAACAGAAAAATAAAATGAGTTTATGAACGTGATGTAGTTTGAATGTACTTGTGGTATTACTTACAAACATCGTATTATTATTATCCAATATGATGTTTAATCCCGATGCTGAATTGAATGAACGCCATGTACACCGTGATTTTCTCTTTCTATGTATAGTGTTGCTCAAAGAACACAGTGATTTTGAACTGATATTGATATTGATATGCACGACTCATTGCTTAGATAGTAACGTATTGAAAATAACGTGGTTCTGTTCATGTCTGATGATCAACCTTAAAAATGTAATCGAAAACTATTGCCAAAACAACAAAAAGCAGACATTTTAAATAAAGCCATCAACGGTTTACGTTCTAAAAGTACGCGAGCAGGCCCTAAGTTTGTGAGACTGCTGTCCGGTCTTAGAGAATGAATCTTTAAAGTCTCCATTAATGATGATTACACGTCTGTAACACTTCTTATCTTTGTCGTGAAAGATTCTACTTTTGCTAAGCGAAATATTCTATTCACGTTGGTGTACATACTATTGTGCATAATAAAGAAATGCAGCGTATTTTTCGTACCATATGTTACATTCTAATCCCATGGGGGCGCCATCATGGCGGCTCGTTCATATTGGATGTTTTGTTCGACAACGTATCATAATTATGACACTGGGAACACACATGCATTTGCAATTGGATTTTGCTCTTGGCACCGTGGTAGTCATTCATGGTTTATCATTTGTATTAACTGAAAATTTGTAATTTGTTTTAGTCATTTTGTCGACAGTTGTCTCGACATTTGGGTATTTGGGTGTCAGGGGGAAATTCTTCTCCTCTGGATTCTCCACACGTGTCAGGGGGGATCTCGTCTTTTCTCTCTATCACGTCCCCTTGAGGTACGGGATCGGGAAAGACGCTTAAACATTACAGTCAAATAAACGCACACAACGAAATACGTTTCAACTCTCGTCTTTAGTCGGTCAGTCGAGCACTCTATAAGACACAGCGCCCTTGGGAAAAGTCCCCAAGATTATCGCAAGGCTGACCCAAGACTAGACC